TGTGTCGTTAAGGTTAGTGCTGGTCACTTGCTGTGTCGATAAGCACGTGTTTTGTTGTGTCGGTAGCAATTCCCTTAGTTACAGGCTTATGACCTGGTCATAACCCATCACTGAATGCGACGGGTACGAACTCAAAAATTGGCCAGAGTACGTTTACTTCCAAGATTTGACAAGGGTCCATATTCATTAAACATCGCACTTTTTTTAGTATGTATCACGAGTCACAAAATATATTGCCTTATATCGGCTTGAGTTCTTCGCCCCGGATTGATGATTCAACTTCATTAGTTTTTTTTTGATAAATCCTTGCAAAAATCTTAATTTATAAGATGCCAATATTATCAATAATCTTAGCGTTAGTACGATTACGCTTTATTTGTTTTGATTTGCACTAAAAAAAAATAGAATATGATGTTATAAAATAAGATAAAATAAAATAAATATAGTTACTGTTAAATACATAATAAATGTAAAATTAAAATTTTTTTTTTACAAATGATAGTCCAAGCTGATAACTCATGAGCATAATTATATTATAATTCACGCACATCGATTACTATAAGATATAACCTATTCATTCAAATGCATTCTCTTCAACTCTTGTATCCCCTGTTCTCTACTAACATGTCCAACATATCCCAACTCTTTTTTAGCACTATCAGAATACAATCGATAATCTTGGAACAAGCACAACAAAGACTCCCTGTTCATACCATCAAGCATCCAGCGTTTACTATATCCCAGAAAAGGTATCCACTCAACAAAGGTGATGGCACCCCAGATTAACCACTTAGGTGGCCTAAAAGTCTCGAAAGGTCTTGGAGGGTTAACATCAGACACTGCACCAACATAAAACCCCACAAAATCTTCCACTTTAACTTTTCCATTTGAATCTTCAATCTCATAAATTTTCTTTTCTTTTATTTGATCAGTCTCGAATTGATGAATGCAAGAAAGGAAAATAGCTTCGCAAGCATTGGTGACATGTAAAATCGATATTTCCCAGCACTCAGGAGTAAGTAACCATAATGGATTTTTACTCAAATTTTTTAATTTCGGTAACAATACATTGTCATCTTTTCCCCATAACCAGCCTAATCTAAGGATGATCACGTTCGAATAAGTAGATTTTAAAATTAAATCCTCGGCAAGACATTTGGATTTTGAATATGGCGCCCAATCAGGCAGCGCATCTTTTGAATAATGATTACTTATAAGGGCTGTAAACGATGAAATGTAAATGAAACGTGGTTTTTGTGGTAAGGTGGAAATGATGGAGAGGAATTGTAAAGTTCCCTTGATATTGACATTTTCGAATTCGGCAAAGTAACCCCATGGTTGAACCTACAAGTTTAATATATAAAGTCATGATTTGATGTAAAAAAAGCACGTTCGGAAAGTTTAATGATATAAATTTAACCTTTGCAGCCATATGAACAACGACATCAACTCCATTCAATCCTTCTCTGATGGCAGCTTCGTCATTAATACATCCACGAATTATTCTAACACGTTCTTTACCATCCTCGATATCATTGCAGGCATTTAATATATATTCATCAGAAGTGCTTGAGCGTGCTAAGGCATTGATTGTAATTTGTTGGTCTCGAGAGAGCACGTATTTTATAAAATTACGACCTAGAAAACCCGAGCCACCAGTCAAAAATAATTTCATGTTTATTTTTATAAAAAATAAAACGATTAAGGACAAAAGACATTCCTTAAATAATTGTCTTCCTATCTTTAATAATGATCTGCACTTATTCCCCTGTTACACAAAATTCACATAATTCACATGCAGTATCGGTATCGCCATCAAAAATAACTACCCCAACTAGGGATACCGCCGATTTGCGATAGCATAATCTGCGCATAAATCAGGTTATATCGCAAAAGCATATGCGATAGCATATTGGCATATTGGGGCTAATTTCGCATAATTAATAGAGTATAATCTGCGCCTAAAATTGTAAAATTAGAGCAGTTGTAATTTTTATTGGAAGTCGTATTGGTATCGGGAGAATTCGGGAAAGTAGATAATAAATTAACACCACGTAAAAATTTAGATGTAATTTTTGGTAAGTGGTCGCAACTAGAGGTGTGAATGTAATACCGTAGCTTGTTGTAACTATAATGAGTTACGGACATTTTTTGCCATAACACATTATAATTACGGCAAGCATTCACATCTCTAGGTCGCATCTGTAGTTTGGAACCGGTGTTATGTTTAATGTTAAAATCGGGTTTAATTGGGTTTAAGATATAAAAATGAAACTATACGTAGTCGCAACTCTTCGCATAATTTTACTTGATTCGCATAATTTGCAGCATAATTCTAAACAATTTATCGCATCATTCTGGCGGATTGGCGGAATTGGACCTTTATTTAAATACTTTAAATTTGAACCCTAAATTTACAAACTAAAGTATAAAAATGTCATTCTCTGATATATTAACTGATATCCGTATAATTTGTTAATTTGCGATAATTATTATTATTATTATTACTTAAAATGATTAATTTAGGGTTGGATTAAAAGGGCCCATTCCGCCGATCCGCCAGAATGTAATTCGCATAAACTGATTTGTAAAGCAGGCAGAATTTGGGGTCTGTCGCAGCAGAAAATGGTGATCCCTAACCCCAACAACACCAAAAAAAATGTTCGGTAACACAAGATTTGTACTACACACTGACCAATAGTATTTTACATGCTTAGTCACGATATATATGTTAGATTTCAGCCAATAATATTTTAAGTATTTTATTACTATTCGATTATTATGTACTGAAACATGTTACATTTAGATCACTATACTTATCATCAGGGCTTAACCCACTATATTAATTTACCGGCCATTCAAAAGTGTCATTCTTGACCTATAATATATTAGAATTTAATTGGCTAAATAGTAATGTGCAATATATTAGATATAATAACTTCGATGAATCAAAAAAAACACTTCAAACAATAGCAGTGGTGTAGTAAATGGCCGGCAAATTAATATAGTAGGTTAAGCCCTGCTTATCAATATTTATAATAAAAATATCATAATAAAAATATCATTAAAAAAAAATTGCTTCTCTTACAAAATGACTACAATTATAACTATGATTTCTAATAACTTGTACAAGTGTGATCGATATAATAAAAGATTTGATACAACTGCTTTTGTTAGTAAAACTGAAAACCTACAAAAACATGTTATGAATGTTGGCAAAAAAGATTACAAACTTATTATAATACAAAGCTTAACAATAATATATCTTATGATCTGGATGCTATTAAATCTAAAACAATGAAAAAAAGTATTATTTGAGTCTATGAAAATTCTGGTATAGAATTTTTATATAAAATATCCACTATTTCTTTAAAAAGTAAACCTCATGAACTTGCAAAAACAATTGCCAAAATAGTAGGATCTGCTGATAAATACTATAGTTATCATCTGGTTTATAAATTTGAAAAAAATTCTAATCATTATACATTTTTATATAATTGTTTTCAAAGTTATACTTTAGCTAAACATCCTTAAAAATATGAAAATCTTGACAAGTAATATGATAGAGAATATAGTGAATGTTTTGATTACAATGGTGTTTTAATATCACTTGATATGAAAATAAATATAGTAATAATTGATCTTAATTACACTGTATTTCATAAGTGTTCAGATAGATTCAATATATCTGATGACATTAAAGCTAAAATAAAAAAAAATATTTATCAAATATTTACAGATATTTTTAGATAATTAGAATAGCAGCATCTAAATCTAACTCAAAAACAAGTACATGTGTAATGAACTTATTTTTAAAAAAGAATATCTTCATGATAATAATCAATTAATTTTTATAAAAATATTAGTAAAAAGAAAATAAATATAAAGTTTTTTGATCAATAATTAATATATTCAATATTTGGGTTTTATTATACTATTTTTTGAATTGTCAAAAAATAATAAGAAAAAAATAGTTACAGATACTATATACAAGATGAATATTTTGGGTTATAAGTTGTATTCAATTATCAGTCACTATGATAGATCAGAATTTATACTTGCATATTTATTTATTGAAAGGTCAAAAAAAAATAATAAAGTATAAACAGATATTTTATTTTATTTTTTCAATCATTATTTAATTTAGAATTAAATAATATTAATTTTTTTTAATTGACAAAGATTTTGGATAGATATCTGTTATACAAAAAATGTGGTTAAATGCCAAATTTAATTTTGTTTTTGGCATATAAAAAAAGCAATTAAAAAATATCTTGTTAACAATGTTTATTCAAAAATAATTAATTATAGTTTATATTTAGTGTACCAAATACTTAAATTTGTTGATATTAAATTTTATCCAACACTGCTATCACAATTAACTTTAATACAAAAAAAAATTCTTTTTGTTCTAAAAAGTTATGCTCTAAAATATAGAAATAATAGAAAGTCATATACATCTTTATTCTTAATTTTAAATATTAATAGAATTTATTTGTTAGCAAATGACATCTAAAAACAATCAACAAAACAAATTTACAAATTTTGTGTTAATCACAATTTAAAACTTCTTTGGATATATTTATGGAAATATTGGTATTATAAAAAAATCTGAAATATGTGAGCCTATTCAGTATTTAATAAAATTTGTATTTTTTGTACTACTATATTGTATAAATTATATTAGAAAGTTTTAAAATAAGATTTTTTACCAAGATTTTTTAAACCATATCTTAACTTATTAATATATATTATTGTAACTTGCTTAATTTCACATCATCAACAACAATATAATAAATATTATTCTAAATGTAAAATGTTTTTTTGGTATAAAGAATTTTAAAAAAAATAAATTACATTAAGCAAAAAGCCAATTAATCATAATTATTTTACTAATATCAAAAAATAGATTTGTAAATATTCAGGATTTTTAATTAACTAATTTTTTTTGTATAAATATTTGATTCAAGCATCTCAATTTATGATTAATATATCTTTTTTTAAAACTATTCAATAACAAAAAATTTATCTGTTTATATTTTTACTACCAAAATCTAAATTTATTTAACAAGTGCAATCTTCTATATAGTTAATATATTTAGATACAGATAAAAATCAAGTTTTTTTCAAATTAATACTTGTTTTTTTTATATCTTTGATCTTAATATAATTTAATCTAATATATTAAATTTATTTAATAAGTACAATCTTCAAATAAAGATAAAAATTAAGCTTTTCTAGGTTAAAACTTGTTTTTTTATATATTTAATCTTTATATAATTTGATTTATTATTATTATTTAAAATCTAATACTAACACTAAAGTAATTTAATAAGTACAATTTTTAAATACAGATAAAAATCAAATTTTTCTAGGTTAAAACTTGTTTTTTTATATATTTGATCTTTATATATTTTAATTTTAAAAATAGATAATATGATAAAGATTACTATTCAATTAATAACAATAATAATAAATCAATATAAATATTTTAGAAATATTAGTTAGTAATTCTTAATGTACTCAAAATTGTATAAAAATAAGAAAATACTAATAATATTCAATAGCTACAGTCTGTTCAAAGAAGTTTTAAAAATATACAAAATTTAGTAACAGATATTTAATCTTATCAAAGAAGAATAACTAGCACATGTATTTGGAAAGATTATAATCAACATATGATATTTTTAAATTCATAATATATAGTAAATATTAAAATAAATTATTTATTAAGTTTTAATCTATAACAATTATAGAATTGTAAATAATTTTTCTTTTTTTTTTTTGGTAATCTTGCCTTTATTATTTAAATCGGAAGTACAAGAACTTTACATTTAAACTAAATATAAATTTTCTATACTATATATCTATACTAATAAAGACTCACTCAGTATTAAAGCCCAGGTGCGACCCGTCTAAGTAGCCAATTTG